AATCAGAGCAGTTATTTTTTTCTTCGTAAACATACATTTATTCGTCTCCATTTTCCACTAAATCCTGTGCTCCTGGGGATTCGTAGCCCGAGGAAAACATAAAAATAATCAATAACTTAAAATTGTAATGAGTGGAGTGACCAGGACAAGCACAGAGCACATGGGAAAGCCAAAATATGGGGAGTCAAAATATGATCACAAAGGTGATGAAGGCACGTCACCACACACTGGTGCCTTAGATAAGCACCTTGTTGGCTGATACGTTGGGGTAAAAAAGAGGAACGTGGCAAACAAAGTTTAAGTTGTAAGTCAAGTGGAAAGTCTATGAAGTCATCCATCTAGTTTTTCCTATAGTTCCATCTCTACACAAAACACACCTACCGTTTTACTGCCTCCAGAAGGAACCATGAGGATATTCCTGACATAGCTCTGTAAAGTTTATGGTCCTCACCTTTTTTTTTTTCCTAAGGCTTTGTTCTCCTTGATCCATTTACTTTCTCCCAAAGTGGTGGGGTGGTGGGGGGTGAGGTGGGGTGTTTGTGTGTGGGGTGGGGTGTCTCTTGGTCAGATAGCTATCCTTATAGAGGAAGGGCAATTAAACGTCTCAGTGGAGCTCCGTCGGCTGTGATGTGAACCCCATGCTCACCTGCTCTGGATGGTCCAGCTCTGCCTGACTGGCCCCGGTCTGATGCTCAGAGTTTTCCTTTGCTCCGATCCAGGTGAGTCCCTCAGACCTGAACACCGTGCCAGGCTGTCTGCTTTCCAAAGCAGAAACTCACGCCTGGATCCTGCCTGTCTTGGCTTTCTTAACACTTTGGTTTTCTTAGGAGATGGCCTGACAAGCAGTCAGTGGATGTACTGACAGCTGGAACACTATTTTCATGCAAGATCACTTCTCATTTTAATTTGTTTTAAGAGGTGAGACATTGAGTCCAGCTACAGACATGTGAAGTAGCAAGATGTGTCCCCACCCTACTTCCAAAGGTCTGGCCAAAAAAAAAAAAAAAAAAGGGTGGGGCATCTATAATCTGAGAATTTCAGAGAAGGGAAGCCTTTGAGTCACGCATAGGTTTTCTAGTATCACACTTTAAAATATTTTATTATATTCTGAGAATTCCACACGAAGTATTTTGATAGCATTCACCCCCAGCTTCTCCCAGATCCAACCCCACCTCTCTATGTACCCATAGAACAGAATAAACTAAACTAGAATAAAAGCAGAAACTTGATGTGTTCTGTCTTTAATTGTATTTTTTAAAAACTCGTCTAAGTTTGTGTTTCTTAAATGTTCTTGGGTGGGGGAGCTGCTCTGTGGGCTACACCCTGGGAGGAAGCTGACTCCACCCCTCTCAGCAGGTATGAAAGACCCAAGGATCCTCAGCTAGGGGTGGTCTCCATGCTCACCTCACCCCTGCACCACTCACCCCTGCACTACTCCCCCCTGCACTGCTTACCTCTGCACTATTCACCCCCCCCCCGCACCATTCACCCCTGCACCGCTCACCCTCACACCGCTCCCTCCCTACCGCTCCTCCCCCACTGCTCACCCAGGGCACCACTCACCCCCACACCACTCACCCCCCCCCGCACCGCTCCCCTCACCCCGCACCGCTCACCCCCCAGCACCGCACCCCCCTGCACCACAAGATGCTGTCTGGCCGGAGCTTGTGCAGGTCTTGTGCACGCTGTCACAACTGCAGCCAGGTCGTTTGTGTAGCTGCCCTGTTGTCGCTGGAGAACACCTTTGCCTTGTAGTCAGCCACGGCCTCTGGCTCCTACAATCTTTACACCCATCTCCGATGCCATATTTTTAACTGAGAAGGAAGGGGAGGGAGGGAGGGAGGGAGGGGAACAGCTAGAAAGACACTTGGGCCCGATTTTAATTCTTCCTTTCTCCTGAAGCATCTGGAGGTGAAGTAGAGCTGGAGTTGAGACAGAGGGGACTTAATGAGAAGACTTTCCCCAGGCAGAAGACGGGCATTGCCAGAGTCTCTTGGCAGGAGCCAAGTATTGCACATCTGACCATTTCCAGGCGACGGTTCTTTCTCATAGCTTCCCCCAGCCTTTTGTGATCTGATTTAACAGCCAGGGGTTCAGCAAGGATGTTTGTGACGAGGAGCAGGGTACAGGAAGGCCTCAGGAAGCCCCAGGTGGGAGGGATGCTGCACCTCTCCTAAGGCATGCTGGGAACTGGAAAGCTGATTTTTTAAAAGCTTATTTGAGTATGTTTATAATGTTTGTAGCATGAAACTTTTTGCCCACAAGGTGTTGGAATTACCAGTCACAAATGGCATCTAAATGTGGTTATGTTAATTACCATGTAGCTTTAAGTATCCTTTTTTTCCCTGTGTGTTTTTAAACTTTCTTCTTATTTATTCTTTGTATCTTTTGATCATGTGTCAACATCCCATTCATTTCCCATCCATTTGCATCTGCCCTCTGCCCTTGCAGCCTCCCCCAGAATAAAATGAAAGTTAAGAGAAAAAAGAAGACGAATAAAACAAAGAAGGAAAAATCAGTCTCATTGTGGAAACTGAGTCACGCAGTAAACCCTTTCGTCCATGTGTCTCTATCTACAAGTGTTCATTGCAAAGTCACTGGTCTGGGTCAAGGCCTCTCTGGCTTCTGCTGCACTATTGATGCTGGCCCCTCCCTGGGACTCCTATTGGTTATCCTGCTGGTGCCCTGTGCTGTGGAGATCCTGCAGCTTTGGGTCACAGGAGTGGTCCCTCCATGTGCTCCAGCAGATCCCAGAAGGGGTGGACGTTGGGGTGGGCTAACTCATAACCCTGGCTCTGGACCTGCACCAGGAGAATGGATGCTTTTACTCACAGCCCCCCTCAGCCTCCAGGCTTAGCTCAGTCCTCCGGTGTGGAGCCCCACGCTGCCCCCACCATCCCAGCAAACTCAGTCCCTGCTGCTTCCACACACCTACATGGCTGTAACAGCTGAGGAGTATGCGGAGCCAGCTGCTATAACTCCCCGGAGCTGTCTCAGCCATGCAGTCCAATCCCAGACAAAGAAGTCTGGGAGTCTCTTCTCTGCTGTCTGGTTTGGGTCCGATATGCAATGGACTCTGGTGTCAAATGGGTTGTCAGCCCCAGAACCTTATGACTTACTGGCTCACACTGTCATATGACTTCTCTTATCCCGTGACCACAGGAAATGTCCCCACTCCACACCCACAGGCCGCCTGGAATAGTAGGACTTCTTTTAATAAGGAACCTAGACTGATGATCCAGACTTTGGGTTCCCATTTCACCTAAGGAGTCTCACTCCAATTAGCTTGTACTATAGGATACATGATCGATATATCACATTCTCTTTAGAAGTATTCAGTCACTGTTCATTTAGCCATTGGGTCTCTAATGCAGACATCCTGCTGGATTTGGGGCCTACAAGAATACTGTCAGTGACAGGAGGAAGAAATTAATTTGAATATGACTCTTATGGAAAAGAAATTCCAAGAGAGGAAAAGAACACACAGAGAATATATTGGGGCTCGTGGGGAAGATAAACACTGCATGTTTATCAATTCGGTCAATAGAGTTCTTTCTCAAATGTCTCCCAGCCTGGAACTGAAAAAAAAAACCAAACCCAAAATAAAACAACAACAGAACAACAAAACAAAACCCAAGGCTAAGCTGCCGAATCTCCAGCTTGACTGAAGAAAAAGTGGAACCAAATTTCATCTAGTATCTGGTCTCAGAAAGTAGCTCTAGGGCTGGGGAGATGGTGCAGCCAGTAAGAGCACAGGCATGGGGAGCTGCCAGCTTCCAGAAGCTCCATGAAAAGCCAAGTGAGGCTGCACATGCTCGTGACTCCAGTGCTAGGGGAGCTGGAGGCAGGAGGGTCCCTGGGGTTTGCTGACTGAAGCAAGCTCCAAGTTCAGTAAGAGACCGGCCCCCCTCCCTGCCCCCCTCCGTCTCCTCCAGGTTGAGGAGTCAGGTGGAGAGTGAGGGAACAGGACATTCTCTGGCTCTACACACACACACACACACACACACACACACACACACACACACACACACACGCTAAGGTGGATGTCAGGGTGGCCCTCCCGTAAACGCCTGGCTAGCTCCCCTGTCTCTTTGCAGCACAGATGAAGGACATTCGACATTATTACAAATAACATTGCCCTAGCTCCTCCACTGCCAGTGATGGCACTGCCTACCTCCTTCAAGTGTGGTTCCAGGCAGCACATCTTTATATGTAACGTTATAGGACGTCAGGCCTAAGGATCAATCATAGGGCCATCTTTCAGCTTAACACTTGGAATTTCAGCGTGGGCTTAGGGCATGGGGGACCAGATTAAAGATGTAGGTCTGGATTCTGCTGGGGAGGAGCTTGAGCGCCATTCCAAAAATGCCCATGACCGTCTGGGGGAGAGGTTGGTTTGTCCCAAGGACATGGCTCAACCTCTGAACAATAAGTAATCAAGATGTAATAATCAGGAGGTTCCAGTGGCTGCTGCCTTCCATGTGGGTTTTGTTTTGATTAGAGAGGTAGGTTCCACTGTTCTCCTGCAGCTGGAAGTCAAGAGAAGTCAAGAAGGAATGTGGGAGTGTCCTGACCCCAAAGAATACAGAACCAGAAAACCAGGGCCATTAGTTAGGGGAGTGTGTCATCAAGGTATATGTCTTGGCCAAGTTCCTGCAGCCAACTCCAGAGTCAAGCCTCACTTTCCTTCCCCGCTTCCCTTTGGTGGCTGCGGAAGAGGAAATTAAGTTGCCAATAAGAGGCCAAGATGGCACTAGAACGCACAGGGACAGGCACGTCAAAAAGGGGAGAGGTGTGTTTTAATTGTTACATGTAAGGGGACCCTGTTCACCAAGACTTTTCCTGGCCTCAGTTGGGGTGGATGCAGTGTGAGTAGGAAGGCGTGCCCCTGTGGCTTCCAAGGCTCAACCTCCCAAGTGGAAGGAAGGAATCAGGCGCATCCTCTGCACTCCCCCTCTCCCCGGGCACAGGGCTGCCCCAAGGCTTTCCCGAGCTTGTCAGGCTCCAGGTTGCCTAGGACGAGCTCCGGATCAGGCACAGTTGGGGATGCTGGTGAATTCCCTTTAGAGTCCAGGCAGCCAGGCCCACAGAACCACCACGGCCCTTCCAGAAAGCTCTGCATCTGTGCTGGTAGCACAGCCGCTGTGTTCCTCTTGGAGAGTTCCTCGCTGGACAGGACGAGGGCCCCTCCCCCGCAACCCCCTCCAAGGTCTAGGTGGAGCAGGTGGCGAGCAGGCATCGCGGGCCGGTAGGCATCCTCCTCTGCGCACACCTCACGCGATTTCAGGGTGCCAAGTGGCCTCAGACCTTGCAGCTGGCAGTGCGGTGCGCTCTGCTCAGTCCGGGTGCATTCAACGTCACACAGGCGCTGCTGGGCTGGGGTCACCGGACCTGGTTTCTGCTTTCTGGGGATCCACCGGCTGAGCAAAAGAGCCAAAGCTTTATCTACAAGCGGGCTTCTATAAACAGTGCTCGGGTGCCCTCTCGGCGCTGTCCCTCCTGGCTGCTGAGCGCCAAGGCACAAAGTTGTAAGCAGGGACACGAGAACCCAAGGCAGACACCGGCGCCAGCACCTTAGAATTGATCTGGAAATTTGGCTCTTTCGCTGCGGGGGGTGGGCTCAGTTAAGCCGCCTACCTGCCTCCGAGTGACTCCGGCTTTGGGAGAATTTTGACCAAGCACAAGTGGGAGTCGCTAACATTCTGGCCATGAACACAACCCGGCGTTCTTCTCATCCTCGGAAACACCTCCTGTCTCTGTAATTTGTTCCTGCGCCAGCCAGAGTCCCTAGGACAGGACCTGCACTCCCATCGCTCGGCACCTACTACCCTGGCGTTTCCTCGCTGAGCGCCCTGTCTTCAGCTCCGTGCTTCACCCAGGAGTACTTGGGTTTGGGGTGAGAATTTATTTTGTTCCTTTGAGGTGTGATCGAGAGGGTCTGGAGACTTTTTAGATGTCAAGAGACGAGTGTGACTGCAGTGGCCCCAGGCAAAACTGATTTTGGGGCGGAGGAGGTTAGGGTAGGGAGTTCTGCATGAGCTGCTTAAAGGACAAAGGTAACAGAGCCAGGCAGACAGCTCGAAAGGAGACTTCAGCCCGGAGAATTGGTGGAAGTGCGCGCGCCGCCGCCACCACCGCCACCACCGCTGCCTTTCCTGCAGCGCTGTCGATCTAGCCGCTGGCATCTTCCCGAGCTCCGGGATTCCGGGGGAGCAGGCGCCGCCCGGAGCAGAAGCGCCAGGCTGCGGCTTGCGCACGCGGCTCACCATGGGCTCCGCGCGCCAGGCGCTGTCCGTGGTACCGGCTGTTCTACTGGTTCTCGCGCTGCCTGGGCTGCCTGTCTGGGCACAGAATGACACAGAACCGATCGTGCTGGAGGGCAAGTGTCTGGTGGTATGCGACTCGAACCCAGCCACAGACTCCAAGGGATCATCTTCTTCCCCTTTGGGGATATCGGTCCGGGCAGCAAACTCCAAGGTGGCCTTTTCGGCGGTTCGGAGCACCAACCATGAGCCATCCGAGATGAGCAACAAGACTCGCATCATTTACTTTGATCAGGTCAGATCCCCGAGGGTTGCAGGGCGCCCAGAGGGTGGGTGGTCTCTGAATATCGGGAGCTTCCTGCCAAGATTAAGCTAGTATGATTAGGAGATGGCAGCCTCCTCCCTGAAGGTATCAATCTGAAACTTGAGCTGCCTCTCTTCCCCAACAACCGCAGCCCCCATTCCCCCTTGGTGTCTAGCCAGAGGAGGCCTGAGCGGTGGGGTGGCTTGGGAGCGCTGAGGCAGGCACCTGGAGAGCAAGACAAGTTTAGCAGCAACAGGTCATCCGGGACCGAAGGGAATATTGTCCCTGGATGTTGAGATCTGTTGGTTCAACTTAGCAGCAGGTGCCCTGGAGGTGTTCCTGAGGGGGCCCTGGAAGACAGCCTGTAAATGCTGGAGTTGTGTTTCCAGGTGGAAGCTCATCTCTCAGAGCAACTCTGAGGCTCCCCAAGCTGCAGGGATCCTGCCAGGTGCATGCAAAGGATTGGGTGGGGGCAGGTTCTGGTGTCAGATGTCCCCTCCAGGGTTAGAAGCTAGGGTCACTATGCAGGGCCCAGGGTGGCTGGGTAAACACTACCCTGCCTGGTGTAGACCAAAAGCTTCTCTGGCCACAGCTTCACTCAGAAAAGTTGTCCAGGCAGGAAGAAAGGGGAGTGAGTGTTTATGCAGAGCTTGGGTAGGTAAGAGCCCAGGAGCTGGTTCCCCTTCCTGGGCTTGGTCCTGTTCCTTGCTGGCATTGTAAGTTGCTGAGGAGGCACCGACTTTGATGATAGTGGAAGCTTCTGCTGAGTAGCCCGGTGCTTCCGGAACTGGAGGGATGAGCAACCTCAGGGTGTCAGTTTAGCGAAGCCCCCTGTGACAGAAGCCTAACTCCAGCATTTTGTGTCCAACCCCAACAGTACCCGGAGACTGTGGAATTCCAAAGTCACAGTTCACAGTTGTATGCAGAGCCCCGTGGACAGGTTAAGTGGGGCTGCGGGATGTGTTGGAAAAGACTCGGGTGCCATTTGTGTTCCTTACTTAATTCTAAGTGATTCACTTGCCAGCTGGTCAGGGGCAGAGATGGCTCCCTAGAGGTTTAGTATGGAATAGTTATACATTTTTAAAAAATGAATTAAGTAGGCCCTTTGGAGATTTTGGTGCAGTTTTTAACAAAGTGATGGAAATGAAAGCATAACCCATCCCTGATCACTGTTTCAGTGCGTTATCTAAATGTTGGAACCCTGTGGACAATGTGATATCTTTGTTTGGGGCATTCTTTTCGATGACCTTCCCATCAATTAGAAGAGGAAAGGGATTTTTCTTTTGTTCAGGGAGCCAGGCATCTTAGAGACAACAAGACACATTTAGTTATAAATGTGGATGTGCTTGGATGCTCCCGTTACCCCGTGGAGTCCACATCCAGCTTCATGTTTGCTAACCAACACTAATCAGGTACCTCTATTCTATTAGTGAAGGATGCCTCTTGTCCCTGAATCAGGAAGTCTTGGATAAGCACCTTGCATTATTTTAAAATGTGCTGGGAAACGATGTTTTGTGTCTATGTTTTGTCGGAGAATCTTACGCAGCTGGTGGTGGTGCTGTAGGAAGCCTGTCTGAGCTGAGGTCACAGAACAGAGAGCTGATACTCACGGAGAAGAGGCTCGGATCTCAGACAAATCGCACACATATTTGTATTTCCAGCAGGGCTGAGCCTTGTGCATTTACCTAAATGTTCTGGCTTCTGATGTGCTGTGTAGAGGAGGTGGTGCACTTTGATTCGGGAAGCCTGAGTATATTAATATCCACAAAAATGTTTAAAACAGATATCAACAGACTGAGTCTGATAAACAGAAAATACATCTTAAGACACACATCTGACTTTTATGGATTTATTCCTTGGCGAGACATGAGAGAAAGCCTCCTTGATTTGTTCTGGCTCTTATGCTCTCCCAGGAAGGTACTCACCTCTGAGAAACTGAAATGTAATGGAGAACTCACTGAAATTCAGAGTTAGTGTCATAACCAGGCCACACATCTTGGAGTACAAGGCATGCTATAGCTTCCTTACAAACAATGCTGAACTTTTCTTTTCACTTTTGACCCTTGAACTTCAGATGGATCTTAGGTGACTGATGGGACCGAACAAGGCACTGAAAACACAGAAAGGCACTTAATTTACCTTCCTTTGGCATCCAGCCAAGGCTGACTCATCACCAATGTATTGTGTTAAGACTTACATGGTACCAGGATGGCCAGGCACCAGTCTGAGCAGAGCCCCGGCAGAGGTTTGGGGAACAACCTGGCTTTCCCATCTCTGTGGTACCAACTGTTGGTGTCATGGATTGATTACACCCCCTGGTGGAGGGGGTCTGCCTCTGTGAGGTGTCCAGAGATTGCTGCAGAGAGCCCACGGATGTCGATTGGCTGGCCGGGTAACGTCACTTCTGGACATTGGGAAGACTTATAGACCGTGGGGATGCAACTGTGCAGACACCTTCTGTCTGGCTCTGTGTGAAGCCGGTACAGCCGTCATGTGCTGTTTTGATGACCGTAGAGACATTCGGCCTGGAAACTGAGGCAGGAGTGCAACACAGATGTTTTATTTTTATCTTTGCCTGTGCTGTTTAAAAGGTGGAAGGAAAAAGTCACTTACAAGGGAAGAAATAGGATTAGCTGTTTTGTTCTCCATTGTTTCTGAAGTTAGTTATTGAAAAGAGAAGAGAGAAGAGAGAAGATACAAAGGAAAGAAGGAAGGAAGGAGGGGGAGGAGGAGAGGGAGAGGGGAGGAAGAGGGAATTTATTTTATTCAGTCGAAAATTATAGTAATTTACCATTATTTATTGTTTTTAATCTGTAGATCCTGGTTAATGTGGGCAATTTTTTCACGTTGGAGTCTGTCTTTGTGGCACCAAGGAAAGGAATCTATAGTTTTAGTTTTCACGTAATTAAAGTCTACCAGAGCCAGACAATACAGGTACGTGCTTTGACCTAAGTGCTCTCTGCACTTACGTTCCCACTCAGGGACATGCTTGCATTGTAAAGACAGTTGTCTACTTTTCTCATTTATCTTCAAAACATCTAGTTTGCATTTTTCCCTTATAACATCCATTTGGGTGTGTGGCAAAGGCACATGGAAAACTAAGCAACTGAGTTTATTACCCTGATTACACCTTGTTGTAAACCAAACCAAACCAAACCAAACAAACAAACAAACAAAACAAAACAAAACAAAAAACACAGCTTGGCTAAACCTTTGACTCAAATCTCTACAGAAGATCTTGATTTTTATCTCATGCCTGAATAAAAGTTATTTGAACTTGTAAGGAAAAAATTTATAAAACTTTACAAGTGGAAGTTAAATAAACAAAACTAGTTTGCTATCATTTAAAGTAGAATGAGATACAATAAACTATTGAAACAACAATAACGACAAAACACAGCTTGGCAAAAGCTTCATGACAGAAATCTCTACAGAGGATCTTGATTCTACCTCATGCCTGAACAAAAGTTATTCAAATTTGTAAGGAAAAAAACTTACAAAACATCACAAATAAACATCAAATAAGCAAAACAAGTTTACTATCATTTAAAAAGTATGAGAAGCAACTAGCTAATGGAACCAAGCATCTCGGGAATGGCTACCGATGACTCCTTTGAGGAAGGGTGCATCATGTCATAGTTTAGTTTTGGGTTCTCCCGTCCCAGGAGCTTCTTCCCAGTTGCGTGGTTAGTCATGTGTCTTGTGTTGGGCTTGCTCTGACAAGCTTGGTCTCACACACTAGAGCAGACATAGAGATATCTGCTGCAGTATTAAAGCATATCATTAATAAACAACATGGTACATGTCTATGGGATTCTAAGATATGTCGTATTGAATATTTAGCACTTATATTGCATTTTATATATCCGTGACTAAAATGGATGGTGTTGTCATCTGCCACTCTTTTTTATATCCTAGTGACTTAGATCAACTGACCAGCCTTAGATTGAATCTGTTTCATATTAATTTTAACCTAGAAAAGGGGAGTGTGTAAAGATCACATCTGCTTCCCTGGAAACCTTGACATTTCCAATGACTTTTGTTGCTGCCCAGATTTCAGAAGATACCTAATCAGATGCTGGTAGAATCTGACTGTGTCCAATTTTGTCAGGTCCCAACATTGGGAAGCTACCTGTCCTCTTAATTACTGAAAGGTTGATGCTGAGTACGAGAGGCCAGAAGGGTAGTTAGCCTTGCTTACATGCTGAAGGAAAGTCAGTTTTCACACGACTAGGTGGCTCTCTGGATGGCATTATTTTTGTAGGTGTTTAAGGAAATGTCTATAGGAACACACACGCATTAAATATACCCAGAAAACACACACATTAAATCTGACCCTACACATGCCTGGTTTGAAGGGAAATGAGAATATTTCCTGAATAACCAATGTTTGGCCAGCTCAGCTGTCTTACACTATTTTCTAGTACACGTGTTGATTTTAAAGGGAACTTTTCAGTGGTCATCTTTTTTCTCTTCCAGGTAAACTTGATGTTAAATGGAAAACCAGTCATATCTGCATTTGCTGGGGATAAAGATGTGACCCGAGAAGCTGCCACCAACGGAGTGCTGCTCTACCTGGACAAAGAAGATAAGGTTTACCTAAAACTGGAGAAAGGTAACTTGCTTGGCGGCTGGCAGTATTCCACATTTTCTGGCTTTCTGGTGTTTCCTCTATAGAACTTGACTTCTCTGTGACACCCACGAGTGAGGGTGCCCACCCCTTGCTATCGGAAGACCGCTTTTCACCCTTGGATCGATGTCTCTTATTGTTTCGCTCATGAGTGACTATGGATCCTCTTCAAGGATTCTAGACCTGTCTGGACAAATACAAAGTGTCCCAGATTGTTCTCATGTGTGTGCCAGTCTCCTTCCGTGTGACCCAGGACTCCAAAACTGGAAATCCCTAACCCTGCTTACATGTTAACGGTCAGAAGCTGTCTCAAGGCTCCTCCCATTTAGTTTCCTGCTCTTACTGCACTGGGGTTTTCATTTCTTTGTGTTTGAAAGACCGGCGCGGGGGTCTGAGAGTTAGAAAACCCGGAAGTTCTGACTTCGGTGGTTATCGTGGGACTGCCAAAGACTCGTATATTGTGTGGATACACTGATTACACTTGTTTTCTTTTCCTTTGTGTTTTTAATTATAATCACTTCAGAATTGGTTTGTCTTGTTCTCCTAAGGTAACTGGGATTGTATTCTAGCAACTGGCATTGTGTTTTCTCTATCCACAAGGTAACAAATGGCTTGCCTCAAAATGTCCCTTAACTCTGAGCTCACCCACATGACCTCCCTCCTGCTCCCTAAAACGAATGCTCCATAGTTGTATTTTAATTATATATGTGAAAGAGTCATATTTTCCAAATTATATTTTCTAATAGGAAAAATAGATCACAATCTGACAAAGAAGAAGTTACTTACCCCAATTCTAAGTGCTCAGTCCCTAAATGTTGGCAAAATAGCTCTTACACTTTACTGTTCAACTTTAATTAATGTGATTGATAACAACCACTTTATTAGAACCAGAGGGGATTATTTCCCCCTTTAACATGACCACTTTATTAACTGGAGATGGTATGCCCTTGTTTTTAATTATATCTATTTTTCAAATCTCCTGTTGTGTTTGAAATATCATCTGGTTTTGCCTTAATTCCTCAACTTGTATATATAATATATATTTATCTGTTCAGCTAATATTAAATCCAGATACTCCATAACGAAATTTAGTGCAATATCTTATTTTGTCTTTTGTATAGGTCATATGAATTCATAAATTATTTATGTCTCTGTTGCAGAATAAAGATTATTATATGTTAGTGGGATGGTTGGTTTGTTCCTTTTGGTTCTGAGAATGTGTCTTCTACGGAGTTTGTCTGCTCCTCCACTATCTCCTCCCTTCCCGGCTCCTTCCTCTCCTCCCCACCTCCTTCCTTCTTTCCTTCCCTCCCTTCTTTTAGTTTCTTCCTTGAGTTAAACAAAAACCCTTCCTGAGTTTTCAGGTAATGTTCTTTGAGTTGGTATAGGAAATCTTTACTCTATTTAATCTGTCCAAATCCAGGAGTTGCAAGCTTGCCAAAAGGGAATCAATGAATTTAGCAAACTCTTTCTTCATAAGGACTTGTGAGGGAAAATGACGTTAAAAGAGATCTCTTGAAATATCACAAGGTCGCTCCATGCATGAGTGAGTGGTGGCCAGTATCAAGATATTTAGATATCTCTAAATGCGGGGCTTCGGCAAATGTTACATCCTGCCCATAGCGTTCCTACTCAAAGCGGGAGACGGTATTCCTGTGACGCTGGGGGGTGTGGAGGCTCCATTTCCAGGTCTGTGGCCCTGCTGGCGGCAAGCGTCCTCTGGTAGGTAGCTGGAGCCATAGGAACGTGTTACAAAGGGACCCACACGTGTACAACTTCCAGACTCTGTGATTAATCTCCAAGCCAGAATGTTCATTCAGCTCTAGAAAGATGCCTCTCTTTTCCTAGAAAAAACTCTTTGCAGACACTGGCAACGATCCCTGATGCTGGTTGTCCCCTGCTGGCTTTCAGTTCATAGCCCTGATTTTATAATATGGAGAAAAAAACCACACAGTATTGCATAGAGAGACAGCAAAGGTGGCTTTAGTCCTTAGGCCAGTGGAAACTCTAACCACGCACGAACTCTGCCTAGCAGATACTCACACTCCATCTAGGCATGCTGAGTCTGCATCCGGACATCACAGCAGGAGAATTATAAATGCATAGATCTGTTAGTTGCTATTTCGGCAACATGAGTCAAGAGTATTGAAATGACCAGTCGACACCTATGGCGTGATAGAGAAAGTTAGGCTATTCTCAAAACAGGTTAGCACTATCAATACAATTCACAAATCAACTTGTGGCCATCTGTGAGGGCTTGTCCTCATCTTCCTGGATTCTTCTGACTGTAAGGATGCGTCGGTGAAAGCTCTGAGTTTTAACTCCCCAGTTCCAGCCTGTGCGTCTCGGGATGCAGATCCCATTGTGTTCTGGGGGAAGATCTCAGACTGGGGCTGTGAGACATAGAAGTCTGTGGTGCTGGACACCAAGTGAAGGGATCAGGCCAGGGTGAGAGCCACGGAGGCTCAGCTCCACTAGGTCCTGGGAGGTTAGGAGCTGTCACGAACATGTCAGAATGTAAAGATGGCATGAGACGGGGTGACTTAGTCAAAAGGCACCGACTTGGGGTTGATGCAGGGTGTCGTCCTGTGACCTCCATTTGCTCTCTGTCACTTTGGCGGGTTCTTTTGCCTATCTGAGCTTGAGTTACTTTATTTGCAAAGAGGAAGTACTGGGCTTCCATCTGGTTGTGAGAATGCAGTAAGACCCAGGGAGTGCTTGGGGCACAGTGGGAGCTGAAACCCCTAGTCTGACCACCGGCTCTTGCGATCCCCAACATTTCAGGCCTTCAGATGGGCAGACAACAAGAAAACTTATGGAGAGTAGAAGATCTTCACTAGGAAGAGGGGATGTGGGTATAAAGGCTGGCACAGGGAAGACGGAGCACTAAGTTGGGAAGCAGGAGGAACAGGAGTGGTCACACATATTTCTACCGTCGGTGCCGGGTGCTCTCTGCACGGTCTATAACTTGGAAAATTCTTTTCAAAAATTGATGTGTGCAAAAATAAGGCACACTGATAGAGCCCTGTGTGTGCCTTGGCTCCTCACACTGACAGTGTGAGCCCCACTCCCTCCAGACTCTTCCTGTCTCCTGTTCCCTGGTCAAATGCAAGCAATTGTTGCAGCCAGCAGTTTCCTCCTGAAAGACCCTAAGGAGACTAAGCTGAAGGCACAAGCAGCCCTGTGAGGGGTCCACCCGATTCCAGGTGCTTTGGGGGTGCTGCCCACGGTCTACCAGTCTAATTACACTTACGTTTGTAAAATTTATTATTATTATTATTATTATTATTATTATTATTATTATTGACTTAAGTCTGTTCTCCTCTTTTGATTTTTAGTGATACTTTCTTGTATTACTTTAGCCCCTAGCCTCTACTTTTAGCAAATTATTGCTTTAAGTTGTTTCTGTGCATGTTTGTCCTGTGTGTACCCCTGTGTGTGCATGTTTGTCATGTATGTTCACCTGTGTGTGCATGTTTATCATGTGTGTACACCAGTGTGTGCATGTTTGTCCTGTGTGTACCCCTGTGTGTGCATGTTTGTCATGTATGTTCACCTGTGTGTGCATGTTTATCATATGTTTATCATGTGTGTACACCAGTGTGTGCATGTTTATCACATATGTTCACCTGTATGTGCATGTTTGTAGTGTGTGTACACCTGTGTGTGCATGTTTATCATATGTTTATCATGTGTGTACACCAGTGTGTGCATGTTTATCACATATGTTCACCTGTATGTGCATGTTTGTAGTGTGTGTACACCTGTGTGTGCATGTTTATCATATGTTTATCATGTGTGCTCACCTGTATGTGCATATTTATCACATGTGTTCACCTGTGTGTGCATGCCTGTTGTGTGTATACACATCTGTTGTGTGTGCACACGTGTGCACATGTTTGTGGAGGTCAGAGGTCGACATCAGGTGTCTTCTTTGATCATTCTGACCTTATTTATGACACAGAGTATCTTGAGTGTCTCCCTGAACCCCGAGCTTGACAGTTGGCTCACCTCCCTCTCCGTCGAGCCTCACTGAACTTCCTGGCTCCACCTTCCTGGCACTGGGATTATAGATACTTTCCACTGCACCTGGCTTTTTACATGGGTCCTGGAGATTTGAACTCAGGCCCTCATGCTTGTGTGGTATGCGCTTTACCCACCCACTTTACCCACTGAGCCATCTTCCCAGCCCCTGCTTTCGGCTCTGAAACAATCATTGTCATCTAATATAGATCCTCATAACGGATTGTGGGCTGCAAGATCCCGAGGTTGTGGCATGAGTCGCACCCTTCTCTCTGCTTCTCTGTCTGCTCTAGGCACCCACAAAGCTGTATTAGTCACTTGAAACCGCAGTAATCTGTAGATGTGGTCCCACCGTGCATCCCGCTGAGAGCCCTAGGCTTTACTGACCCCCCCCCCTGCACTGTATAAACCCGTCTCTTGAGCAGCAGTATCCATTGGGCTTAGCCAAGGCTCACATATCAGTTGACCTGGTGGCTACCAGAAGTGTTGAGAACAGAGATGTATGGCCATTGGTCCTCACACAAAGCCTTGGCTCAATTATGGTCCCTGGTGGCGCTTCGGTAGAGGAGGAGAGGGGAAGATTGAACAGGTCTAGCTAGGTGGGTTTTATTCTCTTCCTAATGCAGGTCATCTTTTAGTGTGGCTTTTGAGATTAGAATCACTTGTCTGCAGCGCTTCTAGAACTTGGTGGTGCTTAAAACTCCTCACATGTGGCTGGAGAGCTGGGTCCACAGTTACCAGCATTTGCTGCTCCTCCGGCAGACGCAGGCTCAGTTCCCAGCACCATCTGTCTGTAACCACAGTTGGGGGGCTCTAAGGCCCTCTTCTGACCTCCAAGTGTACTGCATACACATGGTGCCCAAACATATATGCAGCCACCCAGCCACCCACACACATAAGTAAAACGAATACATCTAAAACAAAACCAAAACAAACCCCTTGGCAAGAGCAGAAGCCCTTTGTTAAAATGCAGATTGCAACTGGGTAGGTCTGATGGGGGTCTCGGCCCCGCCCCCCACCAGGGTTTCAGGCAAGCCCTAGAGGCTGCAGAACGTAGTGTGAGTAACTGGGCTGTCGAAATGATGATGGAAGTCTGCTCTCCTGCAGCACCCAAGCCAGCAGCAGCGGCTGAGGATGCAGGGGTCTGAGGATGCAGGGGTAGCTGTTACAGGTGTGTAAGCACAAGGGGGTAGCTGTTACAGGTATGTAAGCACAAGCCCCTCCCAGATCTGCTCCATCAAAGTCAGCATCTGACTGAAGTCCCCAGATGATTCTTACGTGTGTTGGCTTGAAGAGCTGATGAATGAAAGAGTTTAGCACCAACGTCACGAGGCTGTTATTGGCTCTCAGAAAGTTTGGAAGCAGCAAGATTGTGTGTGTGTGTGTGTGTGTGAGAGAGAGAGAGAGAGAGAGAGAGAGAGAGAGAGGGGAGAGAGAGATCCTTCTGCATCTGCCTCCTGAGTACTGATATTAAAGGTGTGTGGCACCACGTCCAGCAAAAGTGTGTAACTCAGGCTGGCCTTAAACTTGTCATCCTCCTGCTGCTCCCACCTCCTTAGGCAAATCCTACTGCCATGTGTCACCACAATTGGCCATGTGTCACCACAATCGGCCGTGTGGTGTTTTTTTAGAGACAGAGTCTCTTGCTGGGATCAAGGATCACTAATTCAGCTAGGCAGGCTGCTCAGTGAGCTCCAGGGATCTTATTTCCATCTCTCTGTGGGGCTGGGTTGTAAGTACAGGCTGTCACATCCAGCATTTGTATAGGGGTTCTGGAGATCAAACTCAGGCCCTCAAGATTGTATGGCAAGCCAAGTGCTTGGGTGACTGAACCATTTCTTCAGCTCTAACAAAACATGGCATGTGCTTTATGCTCTTCAGCCCCCAAAGGTCCATCCCCCTAGTTCACTATGGGCATGCCCAGCCTGAGTGATGGGACTCTCGAGATGGGGCTGGGGACTTTGTTTTCTGTGTTCCTCTTTGTGAGTAGCAGGAGACTATTTTCTTCTAAGATCCTTTGCCGTTGCTGTTTAAAAATGCATAAACAGTGCTCCTTTTAAAATATCTTAGCTTTCACTGTTAGCATTTTTAACATCACATGCAAGCACTGTCATGATTTTG